ATATTATTTGTCCCGTCGCCGTCGTCGTCGACATTGCAGGTTAGCGGTCGGTGTAAATTGCGTTTATTAGCCGCCGTGTCCGGGAAATATATTGTTACTATTGTGGCTATATGACTCCAAAATAATAATATTGTTCGACGACACACGTACAGTCCAGAGGCTCACGGGAGGCTCCGTCGGCCGGACGATTTATTACGACGACTTGCCGTGCCCTATGCCCGGAAACGATTGTGTTCGTCGAAGTGATCCATGTGCAGGTCTTGCTCGCCGCGATTTATCGGTCGGCAGTGTAACACGAGAAACGAATGAGAATTTTTGTAAAACCGACCGAAACGACATGGGACGGGAATTCACATTTTACAAAATCGACTCTCAGCAACTCGAGAATAAATAAATAAAGAATATCTCGCCATGATCGAGATTTAGGTACTTACGGTATTTTTTATAAACGTCGATAGTGAAAAAAATAAATATTTTACCACCAATTCGAACACCTTTTGAACAGTAACGCACATGTTTTAGGTTAGGTTAGGTTGAACTACGGCGAAGTAAACGGGGTTTTATCGACTCCGCCGTTTTAATATCAATTCCGCCGGCTATCGATTCCGCCGGATTTTTGTTTATATTGATTCCGCCCATAGGCGCCAGGTTTTCAAAAATGTATTGGGTGCTCTTACCAATGTCAAGCAGAGGTGCACGCAGGGTTGTGGTGGGGGTTAAGGGGATTCACCCCCCCTCGAAATTTCTCCGAGGCCTAGTATAATGTTAGGGCTATACAATATTTATCTCTATATAGTAAATTATTAATAGAATAACACCCCTCCCCCGAAAAAAATCCTGTGTGCCACTGACGTCAAGTATTAGTGAGGGGCTTTTCCCCCCCACACCCTATACTCCATTTATATAAACTGGTAACAAAACATATTTACAAATTACAATATTATAATATTTTATACAATTTTTAATGAATACCGAGTGTCCGAGTATATTAGTAACATTTTAAACAATTAAAATTTTTACTTCACGGAAGTCTAAAGAAATCTTTTGGAGTTCTGCATTGAGAAGTTCAACCTTCTCAAAAATATTAATCGTTACTTTAGTATAAAATAAAAATTCATATTTGTGCAATTGTTTGAAAAAACCATTTGCTTTGGCACCATTTTGAATACAAAATGAAGTAAGATTGTCATATTTTTAAATAATTAATTAATAATAATAATTCCATATTATCGTAAGGTAAAAAAAATTAAACAATACAAATATATACAAATTGGTCATTTTTTTAAATACTGGTTTGATGCTAGTTTTATATAAGTGAATCTATCAATTTTTTTATTTATATAATCGTCAAAAATGTTTGCTATGTATTTTTTTTGGTGATTTTTATTTTTACTTATTTTTTTGTTGTTTAGTCCTCTTATTATTATACACGAATTAGTTTGTATTGCAGTTTGTAACTTATATGTTCATTGTTCGTGTATTATTCTACTTCAACTTATTTTGTTACGAATTAACTACAAATTACAGTAAGTTATAGTGTGTAAATACTAATGAAATAAAATAAATTTTAACATAAATGTAAACATAAGCCTTTTACATGTTGCTATTACTGTATAATGTAAAAAAATTCGGCGGGATCAATATGTAAAAAAGTTCGGCGGAATCGATATGTAAAAAAGTTCGGCGGAGTTGATACGCGGCGCAATCGATAGATTTTTTACAGGTAAAAAGGTAATTTCGGCGCAATCGATATACGCCCTGCAAGTAAACGTTAAAAAAATATAGACACTATAATAGCAGCATAATATATTATAATAGTAATATAGTATTATGATATTATTGTTATAGATATTTTTCTTCCGTAAGAAAAATTAAGAATTCATAGATATCATGTTTATCGATATAGTGCAGTGGACTGAAAATATCTAGACAGGCGTCGTAGGCAGTAGCATCCTTCATTTTGTTAAGAACTTTATCTATTTTTTGTTTTTATTGTTGATTTGCATTCTATGGCAATTATAAACAAAGTGTTTACGAAAATCGGCGTTGCGAAAATCGGCTAGAAAAAATATTGGAAGGTGACCAAAAAAACATATCTATGTTAAAAAAAGAGATTATATAAAATCGTGTCGTCGGTATATTAAAACAATATTATTATGTTGGCAAAAATGCACAGTGATCTATGGGTTTCGTTTGCGACTTATAAAAATCATAACCATTTATCCGTTAACCACCGTTCGAATGATATTATTCTTTCCATCTAATATTTATTTACAGTTGGTTTTATTTACTTTTAACTTGCTCAAATCGTTTTTGGACGTAGGTATACCTATTCGTGTTTGTCGTCGACGGTTTGGTTGAGTCATAAAACGGTGCTCGACCAACGTTTCTACAGCTACGCAGGTAAACGTTTAAGTGCAATAGTTTTTTTTATAGTTTCATACAGATACACTTAGCATAATATATGGCATGAATGTATGATTGATAAAATACTATAAAAGACCGATGACAGCACTCACAGTTTTTATTTATTTTTTTTTTATCTTTTCCGTATAATAATTTCAGTGGTCGCATTATACGGCGGAACACATAAAATACAAATAATTCTGGGGGGCTTATCCCCTCAAGCCCCCCCCCCCACCCATAGATACACCTATGCTGTGTGGATAAAATGTTTTTAGAGTTTAGATAAATTAGAATACTGACGAGTAATGGCTAATGAGCTATTGACTATTCATAATATCGTATTATATCACAATACAGTCACTGTATTCATTATAAATTTCAAACACTGTGTATACTGCAGCATAGTTAAAAAGTTAAAAGTGGTAATTCAAGAAAGTGAAAGGAGAATTTTATGTTTCTAACAAAATAGCGATGAATAATTAATAAAACTCATTTATATTTAATAATATAATTTTTATCGAAATTGTATACCTATTGGACAAAATTAGAATAAATTTATTATTAAACTCAACAGCTGTTGTAACAGTTAAATAAAGGGTAAAAAACCGTCTCAAACTATTTCAGTTACCGAACAGAAACGAATGAAGAATAATAATATGTATATTTAAATATGAGTCCGTTAGAACTAGTTCAAACGGAACGCAATCGAAATAATATATTAAATTTTTTTTATGGTTTTTCCGGAAGCTTGTTTTTACGTCGGTACATTTTAAAAGCATATGGTTCTAAATTAGTGGAACTTTCAGTTGTTTAACGTGTTCCGTGTTATCACTGGCTTGTTACAAAACGTTACATAATATATAAACTGTATTGTAACTTATAATACTATGAAGTAGGTACACGAATAACACAAATACACAATTATATTATAACAACCAAGTAATACCTACCAACTACTCATTTTCCCCTGACAACAACTCGGGTTGAACGTTCTAATTTCGGTCACAGAATTCTAAATAATTATTTCGATTCATATTATTCCCGTCAGTGGCGTATATACAAATTATTTTCACCATGGGCCAATTCATCAGTTACACTATTCAAGCATAGCACGACTAACATAGCCATCATAAGTCATAACTATACATTTTTTAAAAAGCTGGGTGGTTATAATTATGACATATACAGTACAAAAAAAATTGCGCAATTTAATTATTATGTAAAATTAATTTTCTGATTATTTTTTAAAAAATATTGATAGTGTCATTTATATATTTTAATGTTATCTTACTATGATTGATGAACATCAAAGTCAATTATAAGTCATCAAACGAGTCATCAAAGCAAGTCCCGACAATCTAACATTTCCTTGTTGATTCCTCAAAAACGATTTTAATCAACCGGCTAACTTAATCACGGTGAAAAACTCTAAACAGTGTAGATAATATACATGCAATGCTTTAATTGAACCTGCAATATCAGTATCTGGCCTAGGGGGCCTCCCCCCTATATACGCCACTGATTCCAGTACTGCTGGTAAAGGATAAAATTCGTTTCGGTTTGGACGGTTCGGATTGCGAAATGTCAATGGTGTTCCGGTCCAGAAACAGTGCGAGACAACCCTCAATTATTTTTCACAGAACAATAATTAGCAGAATTTCGTGTTATCTGTATGTGGACTATAAGAGTCAAAACCCACCCGTCTCGTGTAGGTAGCAATAATAAAACTATATTAAATCGCACGAGTTTTGCAGAAAGTGGAAAAACATGGCGACGAAAATCCGCCGAAATGAGACATTATCCGGTTCGATTCGACAACGGCCGATCGTCTCGCGTCCCGACAATTGTCCGAAGCCCAACTCGATCCCAAGATCTGCAAGGGTATATACCTTTAAGTCGACTTTTAACGAAAATTACAATAGACATTATTATATATACGGACGAGTTACCGATTTGGGTCAGGACGTATCGTTTTCTACGTAGTATCTTATTATTTGAATATTATTTCACCCAACACTAAGTATGTATATTGTATTATTATTGTTATTATTATTATAGCTCACTATAGTGGTTTCGTAATAAAACCAAAAACATTTATATAATATAATATAGTTCTTATCCGACAAAACCTCGCGCATTTCAAATCGCGACGATATATTTCCATAATAATTAACGTCAAAGGAACAAAGTCGATCTCGCGAATGGCTTAAAGATAAATCGTGTCGGCCTACAAAATGCAACGTAGTCGATGTCTTGTATGATATAATATATTATCGTTTCGGTGATGAATTTTCTGTTCGAGCTAAAATATTATAATACCTAGGTTTTTTTTTTAAAATTTATATTCGATTTTTTATTTCCCGTATTTTTTTTGATTCCTGCAACACGTAATTTACACGGCATCCGTTTTGACGAAACCTTTGCTTTTGGCTAAATAATTAAAGAAAGAAAAGATGACGATTTACGTGCCGACTTACATTTCTAATAATTATCAGTCATTCGAAATAAACAAATTATAGGTATAATTATTTAGCTATTTAATTATTTATATCGAATAGAAGAAAAATTGCCTGCGCATAAGTCCGTGTAGTACTATGATGACAAAATATTGGCACAACCATTACGTCGACCCTCAGTCGAAGACACGATGTCCTCTAAAGTGTGTAGAAGTTATTGGATCACACGGTGAAAAGGTAATTACAATAAATTAATATAAAACAGTATTTTTTTCTATATGATTGTATCATAGTCGGGGGGAAGAAGGGTAGTTAAACCGACCTTAGACTATATATACCTGTCGAAGAGGGGTTTGCTTAAAAATAATACGCACTGCCAAAGGCCTAGTTAGACATTTTATCAGGACTGGGGGGGACAACCAAGTGTATTTTTAAATTTCCCCCCCAATTTAAAATTTCGTTGGACATATTTATTAGCTATGAATGGGGGGGGGGGGTTATTGCTCCCCCCTCCTTGGTTAAGCCCTTGCACGCGTCGTATTCGACGATTACTCTACTAGGTCATGCCCATTAAATGACCTTTATAGATTGTCCGTCGAGTGTATCGTCTGCAAGGGTAAAATGCGAAAAATGCCGATAATGTATTTGATATATTGCATAGGAACTATTTTAATATACTAAAGTGTGCACTGACCTATAATATATATAAGACATTATACGATCGACGAATGTCTGCAATAAAACGGACGCTTTTTTCAATTTAGTCACTTTCATAGGTGACTTCTGACGCACCGTCGGCCGGTAACAATGCTACAGGGCGTATTGTTAACGGGTTCACATGGTCCACGAAGGATAGTGGTTTCAGTAAGAAGTGCAACTACGGCCCCATAGACAAATGTCAAGGAATCGTAATTTGAAATATTTCATATGTTTTACCCACATAAAATCTATGTAAACTAATCGATTTTGTCCAATCTATTGCAGACAGCATCAGTTGTCGTTTGCAAAACTGGAGTGACAGAGTACTGGTTTTACAGACGAGGATTCATTTCCACTATTCATTACAAAGAGACACCTAACAAAACCTTTAAAATACAAAAGAAAAAACCCGCATCATAGTCATACATATATATAGGTTGTATAATATTATTTTAATATATTTATATATTTTTTATATCGGCGAATCGATCACGTTTGCATATTTAGAATAATATGTATTGTCATTTAATAAAAATAGTAAATTGTTAAAACAAAATCTAATCACCGCACGTCTCATCTTATTATAATCTTATTAAAAGATATAGTTTAATTTGATTAATCTAAGTATAAATCTCAAATGTATACGCAACGATATAAAACAAAGTGGTTTCGTCTATATTTTCAAATTAGTTACGAGTCGCTAATTAAAAATCAAATACTCGTACTTAGGTAGTTAAACAATTCGTTACGAACAATCGGAAAAAATCATTTTGACCTGGATAACATTGAATTGAGTCCCAAATATTGAATTGAGTCCAGCAAATACTTGTGGGTTATCGGAGTTGAGTCCGACCAATATTTTTAGGTTGTTCGAGTTGAGTCCCTTCAGCCTATTACCGTTACCCAGAAGACACCACGTGGAGGTTGGCTGAGAAATCTCCCAAAAAATTGGTGTGATTGTATTTTTTTAATAATAATAATAATAATAAGTATAAAGAGTTAATTAATTAATAAATATTAAAAATAATAATTATTATGTATGATTGTATAGGTACACTGTTTTTTTTGTATCATATAAAAAATAATAATAAATATAAAGAGTCAATTAAAAATAACAATAATATTATGTGTAATATAATAATGTTAATAATGAAATAGTTGCTAGTAAAAATTTAAATGATATATATTTAAAAAAGTCAAATCTGCCAATTTGCATATTAATGTATTTGTTTGTCTGCTCCTGTAAAAAATTTCTTTTTCTAATGTTTTTTACATGGTCTCTTTGCTTTGCTTCTAAGTGTTATATATGTATCGGACTGTATTCACAGAAGAGTGTCCACAAGAATAAAAATGTTTGGATGTCCCATGAATATCCGTTATTATTGCGTATCCTGTATAATATGATGACATGAATTCATTTGATGTGCAAGCTTCAAAGTCACCGGCTTAACAGGTAGTTATGACATTTTATCTATACGGACTCAATTCAAAGATATTAAGATAATACCTTGGACTCAATTCAAACACATAAAAGTAGCATGGACTCAATTCAATATCGCCGTGTTTGACCTATAGTCATGACGATGCAATATCGAATGTGCCTTTTTTATTACAATATTCGCGGGTACCTACTGCTAGAACGGTACCTACAACAATGTTACAAACAAATATTATTTAATATTTTTTGATTGAAATAATTTGAACGTTGTGTCGTCTTAATATAATATATAATACTGCGGAGCACTGGAGTTTTGACTAGTTGTAAAAATCAAAAATTATTTTTGAGATACATCAAAGTTTGTTCGGTTGACAGCAATCAACCGTTTCTCGAGGTTATCTCAGAAATATTTTTATTTGTATAAAATAAGCATGGTCGATTATTAAAACCTAAGTCGTTTACTGTGTAACAAAATGTATAACTTTGTTTAGCCAAAAGGTAAAAACATAATTTAACAATGAAAGATGTACCGCCGTCATATTGCTATTGGCGTTTTATTCAGTAAGTAAGTATTTATTGTAGTTATTGTAGTTTGGAAAATAAAATTTTAAAATGATTGCGGTAATTATGTATATGAACCAAATTAAAACTGTAAGTCGTAAAAGATTCGTGTCGTCGTTAATATAATACGTTTCAGAATTGTATTACTAGAGATAGAGAATTTACGCAAAAGGAAACTGCGAAAAATTGGTGAAAAAGGTAAAATAGCTGCAACTTGGTGTGAATAATACTTAAATTAATAAGGTATTTAAGGCTTATTTATAAACTATTGTGTTGGTACAAAATAGTTGGTTTAGGTAACAGTTAACTACAAAGTAATTTTGGTCGGTGTATGCGGGTTAGTCTGGTGGTATCTGACAATATAATACAGAGGCAACCTCAAAAAGTTGATAACATGTTTCATAAATCTTAATCAATCACAATATTAACTTGGTCATATAACATTTTGAGTGGAAAAAAAAAGTTTGCCAATTTTACATTTTAATTTTACCACACTCACATCTTTAAGGATTATATAATATTATAGTATACAAGGTGATTCCCGAGCATACTCTCCCCCATTTTCATTTAATAATGAATTTATTAAAATTATGATTTTTAGATTTTTTTAAATATTTAATATATTCAAAGACCCATATTATTTTAAAATACTTAAGATTTTTTGTACTACTTAAGGAGTGTCCTGTGGTGATAAAAATTTCTATTTTTAAAATGAAAACCCTATTTTTACTTTAAACTATATTTTAGTAAATCATTTTTTTGAAATTTTGTATGTGGGTGTCTAATTTAAAATTCATACTAGTAGTTGTCTAGTTATTAAAATGTTTATATCGAGAATACTTTAAAAAAAAAAAAAATTGTAAAAAAGATGTAATATCGGATCTATTATGTATCTACTTATTATACTTGGATTATCATAAGCCCTTGTATTATCTGACCATACAGCCCTAACTTAAAAATAACTTGTTTGAAATTTAATTATGATACGTTTAAATGTTCAGAAAAATGAACCTCTAAATATTTTACTGTACACAAGGGGAATTGTTTATTAGAAACAATAGGTATTTCCTCAAGGAGTACAAACAATTTCAAGAATATGTAAATATGGAGTTTAACTATATTTAAAAATTCCAAAAATCAAATTTTGAAAACCTGCATTAAGTGTATGAATAGATTAATGTTTTTAAATAATAGGTAATTATCTTTTATAAAGTTTATTAATATGCGTTTGGTGGACGAATAATAAGAATATTGTTTCTAAAAAAGTTTTAATTGAAGTCCTTTTACCCTAATTTATTATCATCGTAGGTAGGTATAAAATATAATTATTTTAGAACGGTTCAACAACCACACAGCATTGAAATTTCAAACTTATAACTGATATTCAGTTATTAGAATGGAGGGAATATCATGTGCAATCACTACTTTATCAATCACATATGTTATTATTATCAATCAACTTGACTCGTATGAAATATAAAAAATCACACAGAAAAAAAGGACACGGACATGTGTTTTAGTTTTCTCCATAAATTATAATTTTTTTTTTATGCATTGATGGGATAGTGAAATAGTCAAAAAAAAGAAGAAGCCAAATGGGTTGGCTCGTTCTATAATCACCGAATAAATAGAATAAATAATATTTTATTCTGTACTATAATCATCTCTTCCCTCTATCGTGAGCACGCCGAATCAGTATAGATATAATATACCAAAACGGAATAATATAGGCACTGCGAGCTTAGTTTATTGACTTATTGTGATCTCCTCCGAAATAATCGCAGACAGGTCGTAAGCATTTACTTTTCCGAAAGTTTCAACGCTGCGGCAGACGCCCGGTGCAATTTAATCTGAATATCTAGGGTACACCGTTATAATATAATGCGGAGATTTTCACGTCACCGGACGTCTGGGGACACCCTTTTTGCCGTTAATTGACCAGGGGTCGATTGATAATGACTGCGGGGGATTCGACGAGACGCATATCCAAGATCCTATAAATATATTATAATAACGACCGTACGAAACTAGCAAATTGGAAACCGCACTTTCCGCCGTTTGATAGTATATGTATAGGTGGTACACCGGCTACGTCGGAAGTCGTGTCATCGATCATATTATTATATATTAATATAATATTATATAACGTCTGTGGCCCGCCCAAATAAATGTATATACCAGGTGATCCATTTAACGAAAGACACTCGTTATATCAAAAACTATCAATGTTTCCGAAAACGTATTTAAAAAAAAAAAATTTATTGTTAGTTGTTAAAAAACCACATTTTTTTTACTATTTTTTTATCGTTATCATTTTAGTTTTTTGATGAACATTTCAGCATTTTTAATTTTATATTCCAAAGCAGATTTTTTTTTGGAGTACTTCGTTGTATAATTAATTGCATTTTGATCGAGTAGTTTATGACTCGTATAAGTATTTTAAGTTTAGACGTGTGGAGTGGTGTGGTACAAGGGGTAGGTACACCCCGCAAAATGTTGGTTCACTATTTCTGCTCATCTAAACTTTAAATCTTATTAATTAATACTAAACTTTAGGTACTTGTCTGGAATTTGATATTTATTTAGATCGTAATACTCCGATTAATACTCTGCTTCAGAGTATGAAATAATAATGTATATTTTCATTGAAAAAAGTAAAAGACTTAAAAATGATAACGATAACAAATATTGAAAATACAAATTTTTTTTCCAATAGCGACCTATAATCATGTAAAAGAAATATTTTCAAAAATATAAGTGTTTTCTCAAATAAAAGTTGCCTTTTGTTAAATGGATTACAAAGTATAATATAAAATTAAACACTATAACCGAGGGATAGCTATATGAACATACGGTATATAAAATATATTAGGTATATTGTGGTTGACAAGCGTAAACCATGGCATCGTAGTGGTAGTTGTCGTCGTTGAGGTGTTATATTACTATTAATTATCGATCGGTGGGCAGAACTAAAATCGACGATGGATAATCGTTTAGTAATAATAATAACATCAATGGACGAGCACGAATTTTAAGCGCTAGTCCCGCCACGCGTGATCGCCCCACCCCCTCTTTAAATCACCACAGTTCGGCGACCCGCACCCATATCGTATAATATAATATTATTGTTTTGTATTTGTGTACATTATTATTATATTATTATTATTACATATAGCCAACGAAAATAAAAACGCTTTTAAAGTATTGATTTCAACAAATAGTTCCGTACGACTGCGAGACGGCTGCATAATCCGCCCGCAGACTTTTGTACGTGCGATCTCGAAACATTTTTACATTACTCCTGTTTTGAATTACATGTTTCTTAATCCGGCAGTCGAGAGCAAGACGGTTATAGGTCGGTATTCTTTCTCATTCTCTCTCTCTCACTGTCTCTCTATAACTCTCCATCTCTCTCTCTTTT